TGAATCAGAAAACTAAGTGACACTCAGCTGTGCTTCAATAAGCTCTCCTGGTGCTTCTGATATCTATTAAGTTTGAGTGCCACTGTTTAGAGATTGGTTGGTGAGAACAGGTGAAAGTAGATGAAATCTTTCAATTCCTATGTTCTCAGGGCTTTGCCTTTTGAGATACACAGAACAATTAAATTATACAGTTATTTCTTTAGTGTTCAGATGTGGAGACAGATGTTATAGGATGATAGGAAGTTTTAATAAAGTAAACCTTAGTGCATAAAAATAACTATATCTGATGCTTTGGACTCTAAAGCAAGTGAAGACTTCTATTATACTTGGCACATTTTGCTTTATTTTTACTCTTGTTTTTTGACATTTGAGTAAAAACTAACATCTTAGAAAATGAAACAAAATTATATTTATGGCACATGTGTGCTATTCAAAGTTGTAGTTAATTACCCACACCTGTGTGTGGCTTCAGGTATTTTGGCATATAAAGCTATCTAATTCTCCCCAACTTCTGTTTCCTGAGTGAGATTTGGTTTTCAATCTGGGCAAATGAAGACCATGCTGGGGTTAAGAGGGCTCTTTTTTCTCCATTCCTTGATATGGACCTGTGCTGAAGACTGGTCAGGTATAACTTATGACTTGGGGAATAGAAGTTTCTTAAAGAGGGCTGGAAGACGTGGCTTTGGATTCTTTACAGTTTTGGTCTGGTTGAATCTTAATAATAGCCAAGGACACATGGAGGGGTGGTGCATCTTTTAGAGGTGGAATCTTGAGATATCATGTTTTTCTCTTGCATACCAGCACTGAGACTAGGGAATGTGCCCTAACCTGAGACCGTCTTTCTCCAACTCCCCGTTCCTTTTGATCTTATTCTCACCATATCAATTCTTGGGGCTCAAATACTTGAAGTGGGTTTAATATGAAGAGTGTCAAGTGGCCTGGAAAGCAGAGGAGTGGGTGGTGGTAGGAACTCAGGACTCTGTGGTGTGTCACATACACGAAGAAAGCCTTATAACGTCTTAGCCTTTCTTTACCTTATCCTTCATAGATCCTTTTCATTTCAGAGGGAGCAGTCAGTGCCTCCGAAGTGAGGTGAGCAGTGGTCCAGGCTTTTCCAGTACTTTTCCTGCGTCAGCCCTAAAAAGTTCCTGTCCGGAGCAAACCAGAATGATTGGTAGCCCTGAGTATAAACTCAGGCTGTCAGTTTCTCTCTTTCTCTTTCTCTTTTTCTGCTTCTCTTTCTCTTTTCATTTCTTTCTCTCTTCTCTTTTTCTTGTCTCTTGTTCCCTCCTCCCTCCCTCTTTCTTTTCCCTCCCTCCCTCTCTCTTTCTTTTCCCTCCCTCCCTCTTTCTTCTCCTTCCCTCCCTCCCTCCCTTCCTTTCATCATTTTTTTCTTTCTTTTTGAGACAAGAGTCTCGTTGTCACCCAGGCTGGAGTGCAGTGGTACAATCTGGGCTCACTATAGCCTCCACCTCCCAGGTTCATGCAATTGTTGTGCCTCAGCCCCCCGAGTAGCTGGGATTACAGAGGTGCACCATCACATCCGGCTAATTTTTGTATTTTTAGTGGAGATGGGGTTTCACCATATTGGCCAGGCTGGTCTCAAACTCCTGGCCTCAAGTGATCTGCCCACCTCGCCCTCCCAAAGTGCTGGTATAACAGGCATGAGTCACCATGCTGAATGCTTTTTCTTTTCCTTCTCTCTTTCTCTCCCTTTCTTTCTTTCTCTCTCTCTTTCTTTCTTTCTTCTTTCTTTCTTTCCTTCTTTCTCTCTCTCTTTCTTTCTCTTCCTCTTCCTGTTCCCTTCTTCTTCCTCTTCCTTTCCTCTTTCTCTTCTTTCTCGTCTTTCTCTTTTTTCTTCTTTCCCCTTCTCTTTCTCATCTTTCTCGTTCTTTTCTTTTCCCCTTTCTCTTCTTTCTATCTCTTTCTCTTTCTTTTGTTTTATTTATTTCTTTGTCACCCAGGCTGGAGTGCACTGGTGCCATCATAGCTCACTGCAGCTGTGAACTGCTAATTTAAAAAAATTTTTTTATAGAGACTTGCTATGTTGCCCAGGCTAGTCTCCAACTCTTGGCTTCAAGGAATCCTCCCACCTTGGCTTCCCAAAGATTTAGCATTACAGGCGTGAGCCACTGCCTCCTGCCTGAGCTGTCAATTTCTAAGGTTAAGATTTCAGAATTGCAATGAAAGGTTGTATGTATTTGTCAAGTTACCTGTTCAACAAGACAACTTAGACCTGACATGGGTTCATGTTAGAATCTTAGTGTATTCATTATGCTTTCTTTAATTAGAAACTATTTAAAATGGATAACTAAGTTAAAAAAAGCAGGTAACTGTAAGGAATCATATCAATATCCACTGATCCGGTCTTCAGCTTTATTAAATCCATAATTTGCTACATTTGCTTAAATTTTATTTTCTAATAGAAGTAAAAGTTGAAGTAGAGTTGAAGTCCCTGTGGTCATTCCTGATTCTATTCTCTTCCCTCTTTGCCCATATGTGAGTTTGGTAATTATTCATTTTCCTGTGTGTTTTACAATTTTACATCAAATTTGTGGATCCTTAAATATGTTTTGCAGGCATTTATCTTCTATTTCTATTTAATTCTACAGCTTTTTTGTTATCCATCACTTGGAGATTTACATTTGTAGCTCTGGTTTATTTTAATTACTATTTAGCATTCCATTGAATGCAATGCATTGAATAAATACACTGCAAATTGTTTCTGTTCTCATGTTGATAGAATTTTTCCAGCTTTGGGCTGTTACAAATATTGTTTGTATTTGAGTGTTTTATGTGTGTGTGTGTACATATCTAGGAATGGAACTGTGAGGCCACAGGTGCAGATCTGAAAAGTAACTCTCTTGCTCAATCGTTCTCTAATTCGAATTGGTGCTCTCAGATATCTTACTTTTGCCAATCTGGATATGAATAACTGGGGCTTTTACATTTAAGGGAAGTCTTATTTTTAGGTAATTGTAGATTCACATACAGTGTAAGAAGTAATACAGAGATGAAGTATACCATTTATTCAGCTTCACCCAATGGTAACATCTTGCAGAAATATAATACAGTATTACATTGGGATATTAATATTGATGCAGCCAAAGGACAGAATGTCTCTGTTGTAATCAGGATGCCACTTTTAGAGCCACTTCTACTTTCCCCCTGAAACACTCATGCCAAACCTTCTGTCTCCCCATTCCTTAATTTTTGTCAAGCACAGATCTGTTCTCCATTTCTACAATTTTGTCACTTCAAGGGTGTTATATAAATGGGCTCAGAGTTTGCAACCTTTTGGAATTGACTTTTTTTTTCACTCAGCATAATTCCTTGAAGATTCATCGATGTTGTGTGTATCAATGCTTGATTTTTTTTTATTTCTGAGTGGAATTCTATGGCATGATTATACCATGGTTTGTTTAACCATTCACCCACCAAAAGACATCTGGGCTGCCTTCAGTTTTTGATTATTACAAATAAAGCTATTGTTAACATTTATGTACTTTTTTCTTTTTTTGGAGACAGAGTCTAGCTTTGTCACCTAGGCTGGAGTGCAATGGTGCAATCTTGGCTCACTGCAACCTCCACCTCACAGGTTCATGTCATTCTCCTGCCTCAGCCTCCTGAGTAGCTGGGATTACAGGTGCATGCCACCATGCCTAGCTAAATTTTGTATTTTTAGTAGAGACAGGGTTTCATCATGTTGGTCAGGCTGGTCTTGAACTCCTGAACTCGTGATCCACCTGCCTCGCCCTCCCAAAGTGCTGGGATTACAGGAGTGAGCCACCTTGCCTGGCCCATTTATGTATATTTTATGTGAACATACATTTGTATTTCCCTGGGATAAATGCCCAAGAGTTTAATTGTTGAGTCATATGGTGGTTATATGTTTAGTTTTTGAAGAAATTGACAAACTGTTTTCCAGTGTGGTTGATGCATTTCACATTGTCCCAGCAATGTATGAGTGACCCAGTTTCTCGGTGTCCTCACCAGCATTTGGTGTCTTCACTATTATTCATTTTAGCCATTGTGATAGGTGTGTAGTGATATTGTGATTTGAATTTGGATTTCTATAATGGCTGATGGTATTAAACATCTTTTCATACAGTTATTTGCAATGTGTATAGCCCCTTCTGTGAAAGGATTGCAGATTTATATAGCTTCAGTTTCTCTGCTGAGTTTTCAGTATCTCCTGAGAACTCAGGCTCCTTCTAGTATCTTAAGAGCAACTGACAAAATTTTCCTTTAGTGAAGTCTAGAAGAATAGCCAAACTTACTCTTAAAAAAACAAAAACAAAAACTCATGCCTACCCAGTCTCATAAATTCTAGTTTGTTCTAATTCTCTTCCCCTGGGACCTAATTCAAGTAGCAGATTATATCCGAAAATTATTTCCATTTCCAGATTAAAAAAACTTAATGTCCAGATATTTCAAGATAGAAGGGAAAGGATAGCACTGTTTTCACTCAATTTCTATAAAAGCCTGGTTGCTACCTTGAGTTTTCTGGACAAGTCTTTATATATCATGAAACTGTAGGTATAAAAACGGAAACTTGCTTGCTTCTGTAGAAATGAAAGGGCTTGCTTCAAAGAGCTTCAGTTGAACAAGGGAGACAGAAAATGCTCTACACTTAGTATAAACATTATAATATAGATATAGTCTTGTGATTCTAGTTCTACAATAAGTGACTTTGGAGGGTTAGATGAAATCTTATTTTGTATTGATTTTTTCCCCTATATATAGATTCACTAAAGAATGTATCTGAAGGATGAGTATATGTGTAGATATTTTTAGGGGATGAAGTAATAATACAAAGACCATGTTTTGCAAATTTGTTCACCTCTTAAGATATTTTGTTTTAGTAAGGGATGATCTCTTCATTTGTATTAACAGGGTATGCTAAATTTTTTGAGCTGATCTATCTAATTGCATGCTAACAGAAAGTTTCTCTTTTCTGCTTTTCAGCTATTCAAGTACACTGCACCCAGTTTTGGTTCTTTGCCAGGATTAAACCCACGATATTTTACAATTTGCATGTGAACCCCGATGAAGTGTTTCTAGGAGATGGCTGTCCTGTAACCTATGTTTTGCCAAATGTCTACTATGAGTTTTTCTACCATCCTCATGACTGCGGTATTGTAACTCAAGTAAGAGAAATGGCTATCAAAACCCAAGTGTCTTATGGTTCCTTCAATATACAAACCAGAAGTCATTAAGTGTCTATTTGTAATACAGCTAGACTCTTTAATAATCACATTTAGGACAGAAGCAGTTAAGAAAGGAGATGCTAAATGCTTTTTTCTTGTTGGGTGGTAATTGCAAACACTAATTATTCATTTCGTGATGGAGCAGGCTGGAGAGTTGAATGTTTTGAAGGAGGAAAGTATTTTCCATGCATCACAAGGTTTTTCAACAGTTTGTCTAACTAATTACTTGTTATAATTCATGAAGTTTGGTCAATTGCAAACAGAAGGTGGGAGTAACACTAATCAAGCATCAGAAGCCTTTTCAAAGTAAATATTCAGTCATCTCCTAGCCCTAGCCCGTACTCACCAGATATTTTGGGTATACTAAGTCACTATGCATATCACTGATAAAAGTATAACTGGAATTTTGACTTGATTTAAAAAGCGTTTAAAGTTAGTAAAATCTTGCTATGATATTCCTTATTTTTTTTCATTATCCCAAATAAAATGCTAAGAGAAGTAATAGAACTTGATCAGGTTTAGATAAATGCCACAGACTGGGTAACACAGAAAGCAAAAGCAAAATCTGAGGTAGAGTTGAGTGTGTGGAATATTTATTAAGAAGTGCTTTTGGGAGAAAGAAGATTGGGCAAAGGGCAAAGCTGAGCTGTGATGCAGCCTCAAAGACAGCTTTGGCTGACCCTACACAGGGCTTCACATTCCTGCTGGGTAGGTGATCAGAAGTGGGCCACCCTGGGAGAGGGGTGTGGCTAGGGGTAAGACAGCTCTCAGCAGCTACACAGTTCCTGGAGGGGGTGAGAGCTGACGGCTGAAGGCTATCTGGCAACAGCATTCCCAACAGCTGGGTCAACAAGCTCTTAGGGGATCTGGGAAGCACATTACAGGTCTAATACACCACAGCATGTATTAGGGGGGCACTATCAACCTTGATATAAACTGGGGGGAGCGGGGAATATTCAAATGTTAATAATCTGGGTGGTGGTAGTTTTTATCTATGCTTATATTTTCAAATTATCCAAAGAGAGCAGGATATATCTGAGATAGGAACATTTAAAATTATGTAATGGATATGGGTATCTCTGAATCATCGTATCCTCCTATGCTGTCAAAGACTGGGCCTTATATTGAGAACCATATGCTAAATGTCCTTAGAAAAATATTTTACTATTAATTGTCTTAACTCCATTCCACCCCACCCCCCTGAAAACAGCTATTCTTCCTGTTAGGTATTTACTATATGCTGATAATTTAATCACTATTATTCTTTACCACCATAATTATTGCTTTTTTATAGAAATAAGAAAACAGACTTAATTGTTTAAACACGGTTTTCAAGGATTCATGACGAATAGAGGCAGCTCCAAGATTCCAAATGTGATTCATATGATCTCAAAACCCATGCTCTCTTTGAATAAGCAATGTATCACTACAATTGTGTGTCTCAAAAAGAGGTGTCAATTGCTTTCTTGAATGTGAATCACAAAACTCCTTTCTCTTTTAAATAACAAGTATTGCTTGCCTTTTATGTACAAGCACTGTGCCAGATTTTAACCCATCTGTCAGTTTGGAAAATGGTCCTGTTTCCTGTGAACAGATGCTGTTTATAGTTTAGTGAGAGTGTGACCATTTTTAGAAAGCTTGATGTATCTATAAATTCCTATTTAAATGCCTGTAAGTTTCCTGAGATACTTGAGACAAATATGGGTTTAAAACCTCTCTGTGTCTTGTAGCCTCTCAGGGGAGTTCTTCTGCTTAAAACAAAAATTAAGTATATCTCAAGAGACTCTGCTGTCCGAGCTGAAATGCCTCTGTCGTGTGTGGTCCGCAAGTGAGTACGGAGTACCAGACCGCTGTCCTAGCCCCGGTGTCATTAGCTGTCCAGATAAAAATTCCAAACCTGAAAGATTAAATGGTACAACCAGTGAGGGGAGTGGAGGAGACACCAAAGTCTAATGGGAACACAAATCTCTTGATCCTTGGTGTCTTAGTCCTCTGTTGCTTTGCTATAAAGAAATGCCAGAGACTGGGTAATTTATAAGAAAAGAAGTTTAATTGGCTCATTGTTCTGCAGGCTGTACAGGAAGCATGACTGAGGAGGCCTCAGTTTTTACTCATGGCATAAGGCAACAGAAAGCAAAGCTAGAGCGGGCATACTCACAGGGCTGGAGCAGGTGGAAGTGGTCGGGGGAGGTGCTACACACTTTTAAAAAACCACATCTCCCAAGAACTCTATTGTGAGACCAGCACCAAAGGGATGGTGCTAAACTAGGGGTCCCTAACCTCTGAGCCATGGAGATGTAGTGGTCCCTGGCCTGTTAGGAACCTGGCTGCATAGAAGGAGTGAGCGGCAAGCCAGCATTACCACCTGAGCTGTACCTCCTGTCAGATTAGCAGTGGCATTGGATTCTCAAAGGAGCACGAACCCTATTGTAAACTGCACATGCGAGGGATCTAGGTTGCGCACTCCTTGTGAAAATCTAATGCCTGGTGATCTGAGGTGGAACAGTTGCATCCCCAAATCATCATCCCCTATCCGTGGAAAAATTGTCTTCCGCAAAATTGGCCTGGTTGGCAAAACGTTTGGGGACTGCTGTGCTAAACCGTTCATGAAGGGTCCACTCCCATGACCCCATCACCTTCCACCGGGTTCCACCTCCAATATTGGGGATTACAATGAACATGAGATTTGAGTGGGGATACAGATTCCAAACCATATCATTTGGCCCTGTATTCTTCAAAAATGGTCACACCTGTCCCCTAGAACATAGGAATACTGGGAATATTATTGAAAAATGAAATTATGACTTATTTTTTGATATAAGCATCAGGGTCACTGAAAACCTGATAGGTTTTCGTCAACCAATATTTATACTTGAGCCCATCTGCAAGTTTCCTGAAGACAATAAGAGAAAGTATAATAAAATCTAAAAGATACTGAACTCATCAGGGTATCAAGATCAGCATGTACTATGCAGGGCTGACAGTGTTGGGAGAGAGACATCTTAAAACAGGATTTGTGGGTTAAAATTGGGTCTTTTTTTTAATTGACATCTTGAGAAAGTCTAAGTGTTTATTTCATATTATATGCCTGTATCAAAATATCTCATGTACCATATATATACATATCTACTATGTACCCACAAAAACTGAGAATTAAAAAAAATTTAGAACATTAACAACCAATTTGATTAGGTCTTAGCACAAGTGTGATATATTTGGCAGGACTTTGGGCAATGTTTCAATGAGGTTTTTCTGGTTAAAATCCTGAACTGAATTTTTTTTTTCCCTGAGTAGTTACAGAAAAGTCACATTACACAGAACTCTTCCCACAGATAATTATAGTAGCAGGTAACATTTATTAATTGCTTACCTTATGCCTGCACTGTGCTTGTAGGAATGTATTTGTTCTTCCTGCTGACTCAATGAGGTAGATACTATTCTTTTATTTTTTTATTTTTAAGTGGTTGAGGCTCCTTATTTTGCTCAGGCTGATCTTGAGCTTCTGGGTCCAAGGAAGTCACCCTCCTCAGCCTCCCATGTAGCTGGGACTATGGGTACCCAGCTGTGGTGGTAGATACTATCATGCCAAATTCAGGGTGAGAAAATTGAAACACAGAAAAATTAGGTTACTTGGTCAACATCATTTGCTGGTAGATGGTGGAATCAAGAAGTGAACTCAGAAGGTCTGTTATTTTAAGTCTTTGCTTCTTAGCACCACAAATACTGCCTGTGATGTTCTGGGGTGGGGTGTGTTGGTGGGTGATGGCGGGAAGCAGAAATCAATATATCTACCAATAATAGTCATTTGGCCCCAAGTTCAGCCTTGTAAATGCTAGGATCTGAGTAGATCTTAACCACTATGATATTTTTCTATTTTCTCTTATTTTAGTCAGCATCCTCTTTTAAATGTAGTTGAAACGAGAGATGGGGAAACTGGCAATGTTGATGAATGGGAGATAGAGGTGAAGATACAGATTGCGAGTGAAGACACGGCAGTAACTTCTGCAACACAATCTTGGTAAGAACCCTCAAAACTGGCATCTTATGATTTTTGTCCAGGTGTGTTGTAGATAGCAGTCAATACAATTGTCAAGAAAATGGCTCACATTTGTCTTAAGGTGCATTGTGCCTAAAATGTTTCTGGTTTAAGAATGCAAGTTCATGCTTTCCCATGTTTGTTGAAGATTTTATTGATTATGGTGGTCTTGATAACCTGTTACTAACTGGGAACCCCATATAACTAAGAGCTATCCATTTTGGGTAGTATGTGAAATACTATAATTAACTAAAAAGAAAAAAGCTATCAATTTCAATATCAATAAAGTTCTGAATTGTAATAAATGAGTATTAACACTGAGCCTACAAAGTGGCTTAGATATGTTGATGATCCCTGGGAAAGTGAACTCAGAAGTGTCATAAGTCTGTGTTGCAACTCTTTCCAGAAGGTACCAAATGACTGTAAGGTAGTACAGTTTTTCATTCTTGAGCCCCATATGAAGGCATATTATGAAAAATCCACACATATTAATATATGGCTATTAATAAAAGGATAGAGTTGTGTTTAATAGAGAGTAAACAGGATACCTAGAACATTTGGGATGTACTTCATAGCTTAGAGGGCAAAAGTATCCTTATTCACTTATTATGTTTTTTTTTTTTGGCAGAGTCTCGCTCTGTCGCCCAGGCTGGAGTGCAGTGGTGTTATCTCGGCTCACTGCAAGTTCCGCCTCCTGGGTTCACTCCATTCTCCTGTCTCAGTCTCCCGAGTAGCTGAGACTACAGGCGCCCGCCACCACGCCTGGCTAATGTTTTGTATTTTTTTTAGTAGAGACGGGGTTTCACTGTGTTAGCCAGGATGGTCTCGATCTCCTGACCTCGTGATCTGCCCGCCTTGGCCTCCCAAAGTGCTGGGATTACAGGCGTAAGCCACCGCGCCCGGCCCTCCTTATTCACTTATACATACATTGCACTTGAATCATTAAACACTTAAGGATTACAGTCTCAAGGATAGAACATAAACTTTCTTTCTTCTCCTTCCTTACCTTCTACTTACACCTTCTCCTTCACTCCCATACATATACATTGCTTTACTTATGAATAATAGGCTCTTAGAAGTAGCAAAGTAATGTTTACATTGGGACATACATTTTATTATCTTTCTTCCATTTCAGTAAGAATCTGACTGCTACACTCCCTTGTTCATCAAATGAGTACCTTTATTGCAAGAGAAGAAACTGTGCTGTCCACTTTGATACTGAAAGGCAATTTGGAATCTCTGCCATGATTGCTTAGGACTGAGGATTTAATGTGCTATTTTGTGAAAATCTGAGAAGCAGGAAGGGGATTTAATGATCTCAACCGTTATCCATCTGAAAAGCCTAACTTGTGATTTTAAATAAAATGCAGGCTGCCTTCCACTATTCCCCTTTTAAAATAGGAACTGCCACTGCTTTTAACTTTATGAAGTTTTATTTATAAATAAAGTTTGTACTACTATATATCTGTTTCTAGTTATTGCAAGACTGACTCTTATGTAATTTTAAGCTTCAATGCTCATTAGAAATAGGTTTTTAAGGGTACAGTTGCTAACTCTTCTCAGTTGCTGATTCATGCCCTTAGCTAAGGCTTAGTTGTGGTTGGTCCTGGTAACAGGGCCTAATCATTCATTTATTCCACAAAGAATCCCTCATGGAGTTCACACTTTAGTAGGAGGAGACAGAGTATACAAAAAAACATACTCTATAGTATTTTAAGAAAGAGTAAATGCACCTTAGGGCACAGAGGCAGAGAAAGAAGATAGGGAATTCTTGGGTGAGGGTTGTGGTCCTTAATACGGCATCAGGGAAGGCATCCCTCGAAGGTGATAATTGAGGAAAGAACTGGAGGAAGTGAGGGAATGAGCCTGGCAGATCCTGGAGGGAAGGCTGTTCAAGACTATGGAAACAGTTGATGTAAAGTCACTGAGTGTTTGCAGAACAAGGCCAGCATGATTGGAGAGGTAAAGTCATACAGATGAGGTCTTAAAACAACAACCGAAACACCTAAAACAATGAGTGGAGTACCTCATTTAATTTCTCAAAGTTGATTGACACACCTGGCTTTTGTTTGAAATAAAATGGGAGCCCCCTGGAAAGCTCCAAATGGAGGAGTGATGTGATCTGACTTGGATTTTTATTATCAGGATCACCCTGGCTGCTGGATGGAAAACAGACACCAAGAGGAAGCAGGGACTGAAGTAGGGAGAGGGATTAGGTAGTGATGACTACAAGGTCAGTGGTCTTCAGCCAGGGCCAATTTTACCCTCTGGGGGATGTATCTGGAAGGAACTTTGTTCGTTACAGTGATGGTGTTAGTGTGTTACTGGCATCTGTATAGACCCAGGGATGCTGCTGAACATCCACAGTGCCTAAGACAGCCACTGATGACAAAGAGTTATCCGGGCCCAGAGTCAATAGTACTGAGGATGAGAACCCTGATTTAGAGGTAGCATGGATTTCATAGGAAGAGGTCGGGTAAATTGATCTAAGGATTTGCAGACAGCTAGATATGAAGTATGTTAGAGGAATCTGGAGAGTTTAGGATTTATGAGCTACTATAAAGTTGGAGATGCTACTATCTTGGATAAAAATGTGGAAGATGTTGGTTTGGAAACCTTATTTTGAAAATGTCATGTTTAAGATGCTGCTTAGATCTCCAAGAGGAGAGAGCAAGTGAGTAGTTGAATATACAGGTCTGCAGTTCAGAGGGAGAAGGTCCAGACTGGATGTAGAACATTAGGATTCATCAGCACATACTAATACTTAAAGCCAGTAAGATTGATGAGTTCAAAGCAAAGAAGTGAGGAAAATGAAGATAATCAGTCCAAGGTTTAGGTCTTGGGATATCCAATGTTAAGAGGTTGCTGAGAGAAGGCAGAACCTTTGAATGAGCCAAGGAGAAGGTCAATTGGAAGTAAAACCAGGGCAGAGTGGGGTCCAGGGAGCCATGCAGGCGGAGCTGTCAACTGTATTATCTGTTGCTGAAAAGTTAAGTGGGATGAGAATTAAGGGTTCTTAATTCTTAAGCTACCATCTAACACTAGTCAGAATGGCTACTATTAAAGAGTCAAAAAATAACAAATGCTGGTGAGGCTGTAGAGAGAAAAGAATGCTTGAACACTGTGGGAGTGTAAATTAGTTCAGCCATTGTGGAAGATGGTGTGGAGATTCCTCAAAGACCTAAAGACAGTGATACCATTTGATCCAGCAATCCCATTACTAGGTATATACCCAAAGGAATATAAATGATTCTGTTATAAAGACATGCATGTGTATGTTCATTGCAGCACTATTCACAATAGCAAAGACATGGATTCAACCTAAATGTCCATCAGTGATAGATTGGATAAAGAAAATGTGGTACACATACACCATGAAATACCATGCAGTCATAAAAAAGAACAAGATCATGTCCTTTGCACGGACATGGATGGAGCTGGAGGCCATTATCCTCAGCAAACTAATGCAGAAACAAAAACCAAATACCACATGTTCTCACTTATAAGTGGGAGCTAAATGATGAAAACACCTGAACATGTACAGGGAAACGACACACACTGGGGCCTTTTGGAGGGTGGAGGGTGGGAAGAGGAAGAGGGTCAGGAAAAATAACCAATGGGTACTAGGCTTAATGCTTGGGTGATGAAATAATCAGAACAACAAACCTCTATGACACAAGTTTACCTATGTAACAAACCTGCACTTGTACCCCTGAACTTAAAAGTTAAAAATATACAAAAGGCCTGGTGCAGTGGCTCACACCTGTAATCCCAGCACTTTGGGAGGTTGAGGTGGGCGGATCACCTGAGATCAGAAGTTCGAGACCAGCCTGGCCAACATGGTGAAACCGCATCTCTACAAAAAATACAAAAATTAGCCAGGCGTGGTGGCCCTTGCCTGTAGTGCCAGCTATTTGGGAGGCTGAGGCAGGAGAATCACTTGAACTCAGGAGGTGGAGGTTGCAGTGAGTCGAGATCACGACACTGCACTCCAGCCTGGATGATAGCGTAAGACTCCATCTCAAAAAAAAAAAAAGAAAAATACACAAAACAAAACAAAGAAGAAATGTAAAATAATACAGCCACTGTGGGGAGCTTGGCAGTTTCACTCCTAGGCTGTCATGTAATGACTAATAAATAGTAAGGCCTGGTATCACATGCTATCTCTGCATCTGGTGAAACTGGAAGGGCTATAATGGCCTAACTGCACATTTCTCTCTCTCCTCTGCTCCTGCAGATAAGGTCCCCGCTACACAGCTCTGCTTATCAAGGAGACCAGATACAGTTCCTGCTTATCTCTGAACAGTGGGTTTCAGTTCCCTGGCAGTCTGCAGAATTATTCAAACAAACCAATCATACGCTCCTGTGGGATCTAGGGGTCACCTCACCCTCTTGATATTACAAAGCTTATGTTCCAGAGCCCCTGGTTGTTCCCTGTGCTCCTAAGTGCAGTCCTCATGTGGACCTATGTGCTATGTGGTGTTCTCCTTTGCAAGGCTGTGAATATACACACCAGTGAATTGCTTTCGAGCACATCTGCTCAGTGGCAGGTGTGTGTTTGGCTATCACCATAGCCTTAGGATAGGAATCTCTCCCTCAGCAAGGGGGTGAATAGGAGGCAATGAAAGCTGAGTCAAATACCCCAAGTAATTGAGAATAGGAATTCAAACAAATGTTGAACAACAGCTTTCAGAGTAGCACTATTTGCAAAGATGGAAACAACCCTAAAGTTCATCAGTGGTTGAATGACTCAAGAAAATGTGCTAGAGCCGGGCGCGGTGGCTCACGCCTGTAATCCCAGCACTTTGGGAGGCCGAGGCAGGTGGATCACAAGGTCAGGAGATCGAGACCATCCTGGCTAACACGGTGAAACCCCGTCTCTACTAAAAAAATACAAAAAATTAGCCAGGTATGGTGGCGGGTGCCTGTAGTCCCAGCTACTTGGGAGGCTGAGGCAGGAGAATGGTGTGAACCCGGGAGGTGGAGCTTGGAGCTTGCAGTGAGCCGAGATCACACCACTGCCCTCCAGCCTGGGCGGCAGAGCGAGACTTCGTCTCAAAAAAAAAAAAAAAAGAAAAAAAGAAAATATGCTATACCCATAAAACGGAATACTGTACAGCCATAAAAAGAAATGAAGTATGGATTCATGGTACCATGTGAACTAAAAATAAAGTTCTAGGCCTTCAACTGATTTAATGAACCCCCATCTTGGCCAAGAGGACCCCAGAGAAACCTTAAGAACTGTGTTTCCAGCCATCATGGGGTAGGGGGTTGGACATGACTTGTTACACCACTTCCCTTCTGTGGTTTAGACACAACACCTGACTAGCATTAATATTAAAAAAAGAGATCAGCCTGGGCGTGGTGGCTCCTGTCTATAATCTCAGCATTTGGGGAGGCTGAGGCAGGCAGATTGCCTGAGGTCAGGAGTTTGAGACCAGTCTGGCCAACATGGTAAAACCCCATCTTTACTAAAAATACAAAAAAAATTAGCCGGGCATGGTATCGTGTGCCTATAATCCCAGCTACTCAGGAGGTTGAAGCAGGGGAATTACTTGAACCAGGGAGGTGGAGGTTGCAGTGAGCAGAGATTGTGCCACTGCACCCCAGCCTGGGCAACAGAGTGAGACTCTGTCTCAAAAAAATATCATAAGGCTGACACAACGAACTCTTTGTGGCAATAGCATACAAAATTATAAACAGGACCCAAGGCCATGCCAAGTAATGGTTAAGTCATGCACCCCTACACTCAAACAATAAACTTTGTTCTAACGCCACAAGGTTTTTCTTTTTCAGCAGCTAAACAAGCGCTGGCCTTGAGATAAGCAATGTTAACAATGACAGCTCGTTCACTGCCAGAGGCTGACCTTCCTGTGCTACAAGCCATCACTACAGCGTTGATTGGACAAGGGACTCAGCAACTCTCTCCTGATAAGAGACGACTGAGCAAGAACTGGTTCTGGCCAGTTTACAGAGGTTGCACACTTCTATAACTTTGTGTCTTGGAAAGACCTTTAGATGTAGAAGGCCTAATTGTGATACATTTAAATGTTAAGTCTCCACCCCAAAGTGAACATGGGTCATATATAACATACATGCTTATTCAGCACTTACATGTTAGAACCGCCCTAGAGAATATTCATAGCTCCTCCTATAACCTGTTGAATACGTATGCTTGGCCATCCCATTCAGCATAAATTCCCATCTCACTCCTCCCTCCCTGCAATGTGCCTGCCTTTCAGACTGTGTTGGAGGCTGTGCATCCCAGCCTGTTAGGATGGCCGTCTTGCAGTCTGTAACCCTTTATAAGACATAAAGCCTCTTTTATTTGTAAACAAATAAATAGCATGATTTTTAAAGTTAAGAGTGTAATTCAGTTTTTACAAAGTGTCCAGAATAGGTAAATCCAAAGAGACAGAAAGTAGCTTGGTGCTTGCCAGGGGCTGGGAGAAAGGAGGAGTGTGGAGTTGCTTAAGAAGTATAAGTTTTCCTTTGGGAGATGATGAAAATATTTAGGAATTATAGGGGTGATGGTTTCACACATATGCATGTACCAAGTCCACTGAATTATATACTTCAAAGTTGTTAGTTTTATGTGAATTTAACACTTATAAAAATTAGTGGTTATTTTAACAGAGGAGGAAAGCATGTAAGCTATTGGAATTAGAAATTCCAGTATTATTTTATGTACTTCTATGTAGTTAGCTATTTGAAATAACGATATATTTATTCACATCTTAAATAAGAAAACAGGTAAGTATTTTCAAATAAAAACCACTGAAATATTCTTCATAAATTCAATCTATTGTAAGGCTCTCCTTCCCAAATATAATTTAAGTGATAGATACCTTAACATAAAATCCTACTAATTTTAAAGAACATGCAATATAATAAAAACGTTTAGAAGAAAGGATTTTGAGGTTTCTGATGTTCACAGATGTTACTTTTTGCTTGCTCTTTGTTACATCAGTTCATAATCCTGGAGATTCATATAGCTAGAAACAATTATTTTGTACTTAGAAGCTAAGGCAATCTATGTGATACGCTACATGATTTCTAAAAATAATTTATTAGGCTTTTACTTTTACTTTTCGAGAGGAAGTTTTTTGGAGGTTGATTTCTGCCAAAATGTAGAACCAAGTGATGCTGTTATTATCTATTATCCCATATCTTACAATTTTTCATTACTAGATTTAATTGTCCAAAAATGCCCTTAGAGAATATTTCTAGATATGTGCACGTTCATAATAAAATGCTTGTAGGGAAAGCAAAATTAAACCAGAAAGCACTGTTTTGCCAAAGCTTAGACCACAGGTGTGTGGGTTTGTTTACCTGAATCAAAACCTCCTGAAGCTGATTACAAGCACCGATTAGTGAGCGCATCTTGGCCCAGGTTTACTGGATCTGAATCATTGGTTGGGAGCTAGAGCAGTAGCTTTTTTTTTTTTCTTTTTTCACAAGAACCCAGAGTGAATATAATATGCAATATTGCAATATTGTTAATCAATTAATAAGTAATTCTTCTGTATCACCACCTGAATTTCTCAAATCATCTTGCAAAGCCCTACTTTAACAATTCAATAGACACATATCAAATATTATGTCAGACACAATTTCCGACACATCCACATGCTTGGGAAAAAAGACATGGTGGTAGCGGATGCAGCCTAGAACCACTTTCCACATGTTCTTTCCTGATTTTCTGATTTATCTTTCAATGGCAAAAACCGCACTTACTTTTGCACCAACCAAACTTCAGCTGTGAGGACGAAAAGCCAAAACTATGCTAAGGGGTTCTCAGTGCTTTCCAGAATGATAAACCATCACCCACAGCTGAGGAGGTAAGAGGTTTATAAACACCTGTGGAGGCCCACGTCCCTAGGTTTTCTGTTTCCTGTGATCCCCTGGGCTGGAATCTGAAGCAATGAAGATCTCTTGTGTGTTGGGAGAGCTCCTCATGCTTTTCGAGTTGATTCATGGTCTCCAAGATTGTAAGAAAAAGCGGGAATTTTTGGAGGTGGCAATTTCTAACAGCAGGGCCTTTTTTTCTTTTTTTTTTTTTAAACATATTGTTAACTTTGGGAGTTTGTTTTTTATAACCTGGTGATCAATTGCTAATAGCTAATGATTGCAAAGTTACAGCCAGACATAGTGTTATCTTTACCCCTGTACTTCCTCTTGAATTTTTCCTCTAAGTTGATCTCAAGGTGCCATTTTTATTTTTCTTACATGCAAAATATTTCCAGGTTCTTTCTCTGCTGGAGACTAGCTTGTTACTTTGCTGAATGTGAAATACTTATAGTGACTGGCAAAATCAGGAGAGACTGCCCAGTGCCTAGGAGAGGAGGTTACTAGGTCTACATTTCTGGCCATGGGGTATGAAGTTTGGACAGAGAGTAGTCAGCTGTATTCAATTGTTTATGATTCCTTTTCAGAGTTGAGGGTCTGAATAGATTTTGCATAGGTTTTAATCCTGATCTGCCATTTAACAGCTATGTGACCTTAAATTTATTCATGTGTAAATATGGGATAATGATAAAATTGACTCCATAGAAATGTACTGAAAATGAAGTAAGACCCCAAACCAAAATTTAATGTAGTTGGCAATCATAAAAAAATTATCGGAGTAACTGCAATATTATTTTGTTTTTGAATCCTGAGTTTCACATACCAATTAATATTTATTGGCTCAGATATTTTGATCAAAATAAAATTTTAAGTGGAAGCACATGATCTATTTTTCCATTGTGTGCAACCAAATATCAAAACTTTTTCTTGTGTCTCCTTTTTGTGTCTCCTTTTCTTATGTCTCACTTTTTCAGCTAGACATCACTTACACCTAGATATATTTCAAAAATGTATTCATGAGACCTGTTAGTAAAATTTGAACAATCCCTAAAAGCAAAGTGAGTATGTTGGGATATTTGACTTATTTAGCTTAGAAATTCTCAAGAAGTGCTTCTACGGTTTTTCCACATTCTGATGAAAAAAAACTGAGACACACAGAGATTAACTGGCCCAAGATCTCCCAGTGGAAAAATATACAAATAGAAACAAAACATTTTCACTCTACAGTTGGGAATTCAGCTCAAAAGGTTGAACATTTCCTGAGTGCTTTGTGTGGGGGCAGACATACTATCTGATGTTTTCCCTTTTCAAATTTTCTTTCAACAGTGTCTATAACCTGTTCTGAAACCTGGCTCCAGGTCAAACTTAGACGAACGCCACTGTTAAATGACCTGCAACCTTTGCAAAACGAACTCTCTCTAGGAATTGGCTGTCCTGTAAACATGGTCGAGGTGGATTTCTTTGGGTTCCTGTATCTTCTAACTTTTTGTGGCATCAGAGTGAGCGTAAGAGCAGTTATTATTTCAACCAATAATATATCTTTTGACTGTTTTGGGTCCACAAACCAATGACTAAAACTGCAGTATTCAAATTTTAATTGTCAGTTAATAGTTCATGTAATATTGACTATTCTCTTTAACATTTTTGGATATTGCTTCTATCTGTCGGAAAGACAAATAGGATTTGGGATCCCAAAAACTATGCATTCCTACTTTAAAAATCTTTTTTTTTGGCAACATATCTCTTTTGCCTGTGATAGTGGTTTTTTGTTTTTTAAAATACTCTGTGTTAAATCTAGTTTGAGAGAAACATTTTGTTTTGAAACAGTGTCACAAATACCCAACTCTTGTTGTTGACCCAAAATTTTGATGAAAATGGAGTGTATCAGTTTATATAGTTCCTGTATTAATAAGATAAATCAATCTTTCCTGTCACCAGAAAGCTGGTTTTTTTTTTTTTTCCTTTATGTTAAATTGTTGCTGTGTTTTGTAATTATAGCCTGGTTTTTCCTTTTTGGAGTCATATCTGTTTCTAGTAAAGATTAGGTGAACTGATCCTATTTTTGGATCTAAGTGCATGACTTTATCGTTTGTTTGCTGCTGTATCTCTAGTATAAAAAAAAAGTTAGCATTTGGCAAGTACTCAATTTAGCATGAGGCTGACTCAACTGGTTTTCTAAAGTTGTCAAATATCTAGCCAAAATTCACACTGAGAAATTTAGGTCTGCCTGAATCAGACCCTGACTCTTTTTTTTTTTTTTTTTTTTTTTTGAGATGGAGTCTTGCTCTGTCGCCAGGCTGGAGTGCAGTGGCACAATCTCGGCTCACTGCAACCCCCACCTTCCGTGTTCAAGCGATTCTCCTGCCTCAGCCTCCCGAGTAGCTAGGACTACAGGCATGTACCACCATGCCCAGCTAATTTTTGTATTTTTAGTAGAGATGGGGGTTTCACCTTGTTGGCCAGGATGGTCTCGATCTCTTGACTGAGTGATGTGCCTACCTCCGCCTCCTAGAGTGTTGGGATTACAGGCGCGAGCCAACGTGCCTGACCCAGACCCTGACTCTTAAATAAATGTGGTGATCAAAAGTTGTCTGTTCAGACTCAACTGCCGAATACAATGTCCCTGCTACTATGGCAGGAGCTATTAATGTCTGCTAAAACCAGGGATTTTTATCACTTAGCTCTGCTTTTCTGTTGTAAACCTTGCACTCATACCTACTTTATGTCATAAAGTAAAAATAAAAATTATTTTGTTTTTAATCTATATTTTTAAAATGGAATTTGAAAGCATTTGAAAGAAATATAATTAAGATAACTTATATCCTTTACACCTTTAGGAACACGGAGTAGGTATGCTCATTGAAAGTTTAATTGTGTATGAGCCACCGAATTTTGACTTCAATTTACACATCCCAGTATCATGCTATGTGCAAAGGTAAGTGCAGTGCACTACTGAGATCAAGGCTATCTAACATTATCTTTGGCTTCTAGGTGTTTTGATCAGTTAAACTGCTGAACATTACGCTAAGGTTGGACATTGGATCAAATTTGATCTGTGGTATTCTGTTTGGTCATGTGAGTAGGTCTAAAAAAATTGGTTCTCTCAATGTAGTTTCTGAACGAGTAGATGAGGCTCAGTTGCTATATGAGAATTAAATTCTACAGTCACTAAAGAGATTATATCAGAAAGTTTTTGTTAGTAATCTTTCCTTTTTTGCGGTGTTCCTGTCTGCACCTACCCATACTGCCTCATTCATGGCTATTATAGGAGCTTTTAAGTTTTTGTACAAACCATACCACCTTTCTGCAGATATGGGGAGGAACCAAGAGATTCAAAATCAGTATTTTCTCAGTTTTAAAACTAGAATCGAGTTAGTCTCTGATTTGTTAGTTTCTGCAATACAAATAAAAATCAAGACTTGCTAATGACCGCAATTCTCTCCTTATTGGAGAAACTTTTCTTCAATGAGAGAATAAAGCAGGAGAGCCTGTTGATGAAGGTTGAGGCAATTCTGCTTGTGATCAGATCCCTGGGTGAGCTGTTCACAAGGCCCAATTGCACGTGTGTTCTCTCTGCCCCTAGAGTGTTCATTCCAACCTATTTTGAACAGTCTGGCCTCTGGAGACACAGAATTTAATGGCTATATTTATCTTACAACCACTGACTTCAACTGTACTGTGAAATATTTGCTTTTCTTCATTAACAGCATCTTTGGTCCTTCTCATAAGTAAAAATCAAGTCAGGTCCCTATCTCCAGTATTATATCAAATTTAGGTTTCCTTTAAGACTCCTAGAGTTTTACAGAGCACACAAAGGATTTGGGGAAGAGGGTTTAGTATAATCTGAGTAGTACATTTCCCTCTGCTGCTTTTCTCTTCGTGTTTTGCTGGGTATGACAGGATGAAAGAGGTTGGGTCACAATTGTCTCATGGTTATATGGTGCAATTGCGGTCCATTTCCAGCAATGCTGGCTAGATAATCACACCTTCACCCAGAAGTGTGTCTCAAATTACGGATATGTGAGTTTTTTGGAGTCCTTAGAAAGTGGGTGGCCATCACAACTGCATATTTCCTGATAGACCAATCTAAACAAGGCTTCCTTCTTAGTCCATACAATTGCGACCGTATGCCTCCACACAACCTGCTCATTTTCTGTCTTGTTTGGTTTCTATTCCAGTATCTTGACTTCCTGAGGTCCCCTCCCCAGTTCGCAGGTATTCTTGAGAGAAATCCTGGAAATACAGCTAAAATATTGGTACCTGTGAGAGAAATTACTTAGTCATACTATAATTCATGGTGGGAGAATATGACCTTTCTGCCCCCTTTTCTACACTCCATGTCTCTCATATGTCATTCTACTGCATAGGCAGATACTTGGGAGTAAAATGTCACCCTCTTGCTGTAGGAAACTCAGTGTTGGAGAAGCTGATAGAAACACCTTTATTTGGCTTCATTAAGGGAGGGAGAACTTTAGTGACCCCACTTATCCCTCTGTCACAGGCCAAGAACTCGGAGCTGCATGCCTCTAATCACTCTCTGTAGATGTCCGTTGAGATGATTAGAGATAAGAACTGCTTCAGCCACTTATTAAGAGTTCTTGGTATTTGACATCCTATGAAATTAGCTTCAGGTCCCAATAGTACATTCTGGAATAATGAAAAGTTGTATTCAACCATCTGTGAATTTTTTCTCATATTCTATGAAACAATAAATTTTCATATTTGTCTAAGCTAGCTGATTTAGCATTCTCTCACAGCTGGAAGAGATCTGTTTAATTTAGTTTTCTCCACATTTCAACTTTTTCTCCATCTCCAAAAGCATAATAGATACAAAGCTTAAATCTATTTTTTTCTCTTTTTCAGAAGGTTTCCAATAATCTTAGTGATGAGAAGGGGAGAGAATGACAACCGTCGTGAATGCAGAAGGTCAGTGGGACAGCACTGCTCACTATCACGCAAACTTGAAGACTTGGGAATCCGTCCAAGAGTGTCCTATGTGTAAGAGTATTTTGAATTAGTACCATAAATGCTTACAGTACGTTTATACAAAAAAGGCCAGAGTTTAGTAAGGTGGTGACATACGCCACACTTTGTGTACTATTGCCCCTCTGATTTTAGTTCAGGATCATTGGAATACTGCATTTTTTATATCTATTAGGGATATATTTTATCTTGGCATTTCTCATTATTTCCTTATGTAAAACAGATTTGTAATTGTAACCTCAATAGTTCTTTTATATTAACTTTCTTGAGCTAGAGAGAAACCATCTTTGGTGCATGTAATATAAGTGTGCAACGGGATCATGGATTCCCATAAAGATAGTAATTGATATCTATGTTAACTCTAATTCCAGCTTTTTGTTCTAAAAGAACTAAATGTCAGCAAGAGAAAACTCAAGTGAGCCATAAGAATATTCAAATAGGCTATAATCTTTAGACTTTATTATGCTAGAGGGACAGGCCCTTATTCCACGTATCAGCCAACCCTCATAATTCTAAACTTGATATGGTGTCCTCATGTAAAATTTATAATCATTTACTAAGCATTTGTTAACTAATAGCTATATATACACATAACATGTATGTATGTATACATGTGTATATATCGTATTTGTGATACTTGAATCATTAGAATATTATAATGGTTCCTGGGGTTTAAAATTGATGCTTTTTCCCACCGTTCCCATTTGGTTGAGCCTCAGTGGTTCTTTAGTTAGGTAGTAGTTTCCCATCAGTACAACAATGTAACTGTTTCTTTTCCTTCCTTACAGGAACAGTGTTCCCTTGTTGAGCTACTTAATTGTATCCCTTCCTAAGTGTAAGAACAAAGCTATACATTCTGGATGATGAGGCCACCCTATTTCATTCACCTAGTGCTCTGGCCGCTTGAGGATTTCATTGCCTTTTAGAAGTTGAACTAGTCACTGGATATTGTCTTTTATCATTTCAAATGTGATATTTTTAAATGAAAAACTTGCTCTGTTGTCCATATTTATGAATTGTTGGGGTAGGGAGAAAAGCCTTCCTTTCCCAGATTTTAAACTTGTAATAAATAAACTTTATTCTTAAATAAAGTTTTATAATTCTTAATAGTTATTTATATTTTTTAAAGCCTAAGTCCTGATCCACAGAGCATTATAAAGTGTGAGGCAATTGCATATTGTGACTAGGCTTACCCATCATCTGTTTTGGGTAGCAATAGAGTATCTAATACACAGTAGTCTTTCCTTATTCAGTTTTGCTTCCCATGGTTTCAGTTACTCGCTGTCAACTGTGGTCTCAAAATACTAACATAGTCTTAATATCTTTGTGGAAATTCATAATTCCATTTCATACTTGTTACATACTCCAAAGAGAGACACATTCACATAACTCTTGTTGTAGCATATTATATGTTTGTTAATCTTTTACTGTGGCTAATTAAACTTTATCATAGACATGTATAAGAAAAAGTACAGTGTTTATACAGGGTTTGGTACTAACCACAATTTCAGTAATCCCCTGGGGGTCTTGGAATGCATCCCCTGTGGATAAAGGGAACTATTGTATCATAATCTAATTCTCTAGTTGTTCCTCATTTCACTGGCTTCTAATGATACGTGTAAAATAAGGTGAAATCAGAGTTTTCTTTTTTTTTTTTTTGAGACAGAGTCTTGCTGTGTCACACAGGCTGGAGTGCAGTGGCAT